AAAATTCCCATCAATTCAAAGCATGTACAGTACATGTACAGTGTACATGTACATGTATGTATGCAGAATGGGCCTGAGGCAATTTCAAAGCAATTATATTGAACACAATCAACAAGTGTGGATGGTGGGGCAACCTTCAGAGCAGAATGAAGGCAAAGGGATACATGTACCGGTATGTACATGTACGGGCTCACAGAGTATTTGTGCAAGCAAAATACTTTCAGACCATTGATACTGTACTGATACATGTACTTGTACATGTAGCCTACTGATACAAGTAGTACATGTACAGTATATGTACACCAGTACACCACTGCACTGTCCATAATGTAGGAACACAGCTCTACCATACTACTGTCTTACCACCTGGCATGTACATGTACCAGTAGGCTTTCATGTAGAAGTCTGGGTGGCATGAATCATGGAGGTAAATGTACATGTACATGTACAGTATGCATGAATCAACAGTGTATATACATGTACATGAACATGCGCTAGAGGGATCTCAGGCAACTCCTTTAAAAACAAACTCCTTCATACACATAGGCTTCCAATAGTCCTGTCTGCACTGGACTTTTTTGGGTCAACCTTAACAAGACAATGAGTACCCACTTTTCCCATATTACAAGTATAAAATATACAGTGCAGACATCCCAACAAGTTTCCTCTCGGTTACTTCTACTAGGTTGCGCCATTATTATTACCAGCCAACTTCTGCCCAGGAAAAATTTTCTGAGTCACTTTTCCCGAGATGGCAAGTCTAGTGTGGACAGCGTGAATCGGCAAAAGCATGGAAAGCGTCTCTGTAGAGCATACATCAGGCTTGAGTGCAATGGCATGCTTCATACAGGGTAACTATGTGTGCGCATGCATGTTGCACGCTGAGTGGCTAGTACGTGTAGCATGTGGCAAATATTTCCGGTGTAGTTGTTCCTATTTCCATCCCAATCATAGATGTACATTAGCAGGAATTAGACAGTGCACCATGCCCAGTTCATAATTGCTATACAGTGCATTGCGTCTAAGGATACATGTAGAAAGGTCACGCAAAGCGCCCTCATCATTTGCACTGACAGCTCAGTTACATACTGTACATGTACATACATCACATGTCCATTGTGCATGTACATGTACTTTCCCGCGGTTTCAGTATCATTTTCTTTTGTCGAAAGTCTGCAAGTGCGGACAGTGGTCACATTTGACCGTTTATCATTTTACCGTCGGCTTGGTAAAAACCTGTGAAAAAAGTCCAGTGCCGACACGGCTTAAACCCACAATGCACAAGTAGATATATGCTGAAATCACGGGTAAGCATGAGGGAAGAAATCAAGCGTGCTGCTCATGTACATGTACGTGTACAAATACACCCACACGTACACAGTAAATATACACATGTGTACGTACATGTAGCATTAAACAGTGTCTAGGAATTTGTTCCAAAGAACAATGCAGTGAGTAGGGACCAACATGGGCTAATGCGCACACGATATGCAAATGCATCGGTTCCTGATTCGTGTATTATAACACTTTATACTCAGCTGTTTGCCCCCGAAGGCTCGTGAAAAAACGACAAGTTTACTAGGGTGGGACTCGAACCCACAACTTCCTGCTTACTGGTGCAGAAATCTTAACCACTCGACCACCAAGCTTGCCGGTGTCGTTGGGCAGGGCAAAAAAACCCAAAATTAATCTCCCACGTGCAAATATATCCTCGGAAATACATGTAGCTAGTGCATTAGTAAGCAGGAAGTTGTGGGTTTGACTCTCACTTGAGTTAGTCTTGGCCCAAGATGTCAGTGATAGATGGCGGATCAGCGCTTGTGTGCAATTTTTTTGTAAATTGGGACACCCTCTAGCACACCAGTAGACTAACCCATCAGACTTACATGCAATCAAGCATTGAAGAATCTACATGTATCACTAAATATTCTGCTCCCATGTTAACTTCAGTTTGCTTTAGTTATCAGAGCAAATTACAATGACTTTATGGAGAGATCACTTTTCTGAGGGAGGCAACCACACTTTGTCAAAAGAAGTGAAAAAAAGGAAGCTCTGCAGCACCTGCCAATCAAGAAATATTTTGACTTGAATTTGTTTACCAATTTGCTTACAGTGTCAACGTTTAACAAAATGAATTGAATAAAACTACTCACTGGAACATAGCATTTGGTTACTTTTTGGACAAAACAAACATGGATATTTTCTTGTCATGTACCAGTACAACACAGATGTTATGAATTTAAACAAATATTTTATTATTTATAATCAACCTGAATATTAGATCAGTTGCCATGGCAAAGGTAACCCAAAAAAACAAATAAGCGAACATGGTTACAACTGTGAATGTCTTCCCTTGGATACATATCGAAGAAAGAAGAGAGGAAATGCAGTACAAAGTTGAAGAGTTATTACCAATTTAAAATGTTTATATGTTTGTTTACATGAAGAAACAAGCCTCTTGGGTACCGCAATTAACCAAAATTGCCATATAAAGAAAGTGAACAATTTGGGAACTCATTTTCTTAAATAGGAAACTATGATTAAAATTTATCTTTTTCCGTAGGCTCCAGCTCCTCTACTTAATTTCCAATTTCAATTTTTTTCAAAATTTTTGAAATTTTAAGCGAAGCCAGCACTTAATTCTTTGAAAAAAGGCACGAATAAGAACAAACATTTCATGAAAGTGTGAATTTTAAGCTTTTCAGTCAAAATCCACACTCATTTTTGTGTGTACAAAAACATCACAGTTTGCTCTGCATTACGCACACACAAAAAACATCTAAAAATATCCCTGCTTCAAATCAATTTTTCTTTGCTTTACGAAGTCTAATGGAATCCAAATTTATATCAAAATGTTTCTTATGACATCCTCTCCAAGGTCACTTCTAAAACAAAACAGAAAAAAATAGCTGAAAAATTTATGAGCCTCCCTAGCAATGGTCATACATGTACATGTATGTACCTGGTACATTCATGAAAAGGGCATACATGTAGCTTACATCATGTCATATTTACATGTACTCAACATTCATGAAACCAACACTAAAAATTCAATGAACGTCAGTGTTTGCACTAGTGATGATGTATACTACTAGCCATGATGAGGTGCCAGGCATACATTGTACATTTCATTGTGGCATGTTGGGGTCCTAGCACTGTTGATTTTGGGTCAGCTCGTACCCGAGTTAAGTCGTACCCTGGTCAAGTCATACCCCAGTCAAGTAGTATCCCTGTCAAGTCATACCCCAGTCAAGTCGTACCCCAGTCGTGCCAGTCAAGTCGTACCCCAGTCAAGTTGTACCCCAGTCAAGTGGTATCCCAGTCAAGTCTTACCCCAGTCAAGTCGTACCCCAATCGTGCCAGTCAAGTCGTACCCCTGTCAAGTGGTACCGGTCAAGTCATACCTTGGTCAAGTCGTACCCTAGTCAACTCGTACCCTTGATAAGGATTAGGGTTGTTTTGTCTACTTTTTACTGCAAACTGTTTAATTAATTTTATTAATGATTATAATTCTGTTTGTATTTATTTTCGGTGTACGACAATCTTTCCTCCCTTTTTGCACTATTATTATATGATCATTATTGATTATTTATTGTACTGGTATTAATGATTACAATTTTTTTTTGATGTGTGGCCGATGGTAGACTGGTAGATGCTAGGTGCGACTCATGTATTTATTTCAATTGTTTTATTTTGATAATTATCATTAATTAACCCCTTCCCACCGGACTTTTTTCTGAAAGCCAACGCCAAAAAATCCAGCCTCGCTTGGCCACGAAGCCACCTGCCAAACCGCAAATTCTCGGTTTGTGGCCCTGCGTGCTCTGCACGCTTTGATTTACACAGTGAAAAGGCTCATTGTTCGGTGGCAAGCGGCTTTATTCACACTTCCACATTCCCGTTGCCTCTTTTCAAATTGGGGACTGTTGTAAAGCTGGTGATTATGATGCAAATTCGGCCTTTTCATTTCTTGGCAACACACAAAGGCCACTCACCATATATACAAGAGCCAGGGTATGCCTTCTTTCACTGTGTTCGCTCAAGCGTGGGCACAGAATAATAGCTGAAAAACGGGCTGAAGGATCTCAATTTTTACGGCGGCTCTTATCTTTTTCCGGTGAGACAGGGTTAATTGCTTTATCAATGATTACAATTCTTTGTGTTTTTTGTTGTGCAGGGCTGTATATTCACTGATCTTATTAATTCAAATTAATCAAGCCAAACAAGAAGCTGACATCAACATTAACATTCGATCAGAGTATATCCACTGATTTTATTAATTCAAATTAATCTAGCCAAACAAGAAAACAGACTTGGATGCAGAAATTTAAACTGGACAAAGACATTGACTGGATGGAGAGGACATCTGTAGAACATTTTTGTTCAGGGGGCGTGCATTCAAGTCAGATGCATTTTATGTCCTGAAACTGCTGGGGATTTTCAACAAAAACCAACTGGTAAAAGGAACTGTAAACATGCGTTCAATAAATGTGAGCATCAAAACCCTATTATGCTCTGCTAACTTGGCCTGGGACAATGTGGGGAGTACGAGTTGACTCAGGTACGAGCTAACTTGGGCGCGAGTCGACCTGGGTACAAGTTAACTTGAGTGCGCATTTTGGGGTACGAACTGACCCAGGTACGAGTTAACTCGGGTACGAGTTGACCCATTTCGGTACTGTCATATGGGGGCCTAGGCCTACATGTACATACTACATGATGTAGCCTTGACTTTGTGGGCGTACATGTAGGCCTACATGTATCACAACTGAGTAACAGTGCACCGGTGTGCTACATGTACGTGGTGGTATCAAGTACCGCTAAGGCGTCTACCGGTGAATGATCTTGTACAAATGAATTTACATACATACTGATATCGGCTACCTGCCCCTCCGGCTTGTTGGTTTGTTCATTGACAATACCGGCGTAGCTAGCTGGCCCACATCATCATGACATGACATGGCAAAGTCATCTACGCGTTTCAAAACTCATCAACTTACCCAACTTACGTTACTCAGTCCAAAGCGACCACACTGCGTACAAAGGAGAATCGTCCCGTGCACTGGCGAGGCACGCCTCCGCAACGCAACGTCTCCAAGGAGTGACTTCTGGAGGAGATTTTTGGACACACAACACGATCAATCCATCCAACACGTGAACCATATACCAGATAGCGCTAGGACGGACCAAGACACTGCAGCCAGCAGCACATGCGACACGGATAAAAAATTCACTTCCTACATAGCGCCACCAAGCCGCAAGAAGTTTAATTTGAAATTGGGGGCGCTTTCCACGTTGAGCAAATCCGATGGCTACCACAGACAGGGCGCCCAGACGTGCCGGAAGACCAATGAACCTTAAGGGCCTCTGCTGCTGTTTGATCAATGACCCCTTTATTAAACAGTGGGAAACATCTATAAATGCTTCCATTACGCTAAGCAAAAAACATAATTTCTTCCAGAAAGTTTTTATTTAGAGTGAAAGTGTAAAAATGTCACAGTAGGGAAAAAGAAGCACACACACACTCAGCCTCCAGAGGCGGAAGTGGAGCAAAGAGGGACGGGGGAGGGGGACCACCCCGACTTGGCCAGCCATGGAAATTTAAAAAAGGGGGGCGGGCTGAAACCATATGAAACTCATGATAAATGAGAAAATTTTGGGGGCCATTCTGTTTATTTTTAGGCGGAACGATGTCTCGCAACATCCCTGCTGCGACTGTCTGCGTCTTGAGTATCGTCAGCGTTCGATTAATGTATGGAAACTAGACTTTCCTGTCATGTTATTTCCATTTCAGCCGTGGTTCCTTACTACTCTTCCACTCCAGACATCTGCAACTTCATTTTTTTATTTACCCATAGTTCATATTGTTTGGTAAAGATAGTTACCTTTTACCGTATCTCGCTAAGTTAAAAGTGCCAGTTCGGAGGTTGGAATCTTGTAACGTAACGTTGCTGATGCTAGTAATCTCGTGCGCTGAGTGAGTAGGTCTACATGAGGAAATGCTTAAACGCACAAAAGACGGATAGAAGTGACCAAAGTTTTGAAGTGATACGAGAGAGACTTGATTGTTGAATGCTGCCGTTGGTCAACGGCTTCGATGAATTTGATGACGAGGAATATTTCTACACAGAGTGCTTGAATGTGGTGACTGAACTTTGAAGCTGAGTGGCACATGACTAAGGCGTTTCTCTAATAGCACGTGGATTTCGTTTTGGACGAAACTACATACTGGAGTCTGTTAATTGGAATAAAATCCTGATTTCACATAGCTGTGGACTTTATTATTTAAGGTCTGAGGGACGGACGCATTTGTAATCCAACAAGTACGCGCAATAAAACTTAACCATGGATGCCCAGAAGTCGGGCAGTCATGGCTGTGGACAAAACACTCATTTTGGGCGCTGTGGCACATGAATGGTTAATGAAGTTCTTCAACCGTTGCTGCACACAATAAAACACATACATAAGCAATATCCTCTAAGCCCACTAGATTTTATTACATTATGCTTGCACATTATAGTGATTATCAACCAATACAATGCAAATCAGATTAACAGAATTGGACCCTGTTGGGTTAAAGTTCAGTGTGTCGATCTCAAAGTAAAGTTATTGAAGCATTGCATGCTCGTGTAAAGTTAAAGTCATGTCAAGCTATTCAAAATCTATCTCTGAAGCAATACATGAATCAGCATTTTATGCTCAAATGTTTAAGAAAAACTAAGATATCGTTTTATTTAAACTCTGCGACAGGAAAGAATTCTTGAAGGTAAATTTAATGAAAATGTGCAAGACGTCATTAAGATAAAATTGTATGCATGTGCACTGCACATTTCCCATCATCTTCAGCCGAATAGCAGAAAAAATGCCTGAATCACCACCATCAGGTGAAATCGTTTTACTAAACTGGAGTCAGATGTGAAGATTTATCATTCACAAGGGGCCTTGCGGCATTTCTACCTTGTCTGCTGCACGATGATAAACAAAGGTAAAGGTGTCTTGCCATTTTGCATTAGTGCACCACAGTGAAGAGCTACAGCCGCAGACGACTGGGCCGGTTCCAATACGACCCGAGGCTCTGGTTAGATTGCCTAGACTGGTTAAATACGCTTTTTCATATGTACGTTTTTTGGCTGCGTTGCGTAGGCGATGCGTTCATGCGTTTCACTTTCACGGCACCGAAGTCAACCCCACTGACATAACACGCGTCCGTTGCGTTAGGCCATCAAGATGGCCCCGGGAGCAATTTCGACAGATACGCAATTTGACAAAGCTGGCACTTAACTAAATAATCAAATAACCATATAACCAAATAATCGACCAAATGGAAATCGAATATTCGAATACTGAACTATTTGAATTGACTCAGCCATATCAGCCGAGAAGCATCAAAATAAGGCACCTGGCTATACGTTACTTACAGTTATCAAACTAATTATCAAATGAACAAAGCCCAATAATCACTTTTTCACCTTCTGAAGTTCAATGATAATACACCATGCAGTAAAAGAACATAAAAGCCAGCAAACAACACAAAAAACACAATAGCCCATTGGTTTGTATTTTTCAACCAATAAAGCTTAGCAAGGGCTCATTCAAAGAACAGTCCACGTTTTACTCGGAAAATAGTGACACCATCAAAATGGAAGATGCTTCAAGCTTACGTAATAAGCATTTATCCAACTGTTACAAACCAAGTATTGTAGTAGTATACATCAGTATTTATAGAAATCGTAACAGGTTGGCAAAGCAGTCACTGGCCAGCCTGATGAGTATGTGTCACCTCACGTTATGTGGGCCAATCTCCAAATTAGGCTCGAGAAGACTGTTTATGAACACTGGTGAGAAAATTATAAGTACAATGGCAAGAAGGGTGCCTGAACAAAATACATTATCTTCAGGCAAACTTGAATTCTCAATTCTGACTGGCCAATCCGTTGTAACAAACAATGTGATATATAACTGTATTGCACGGTTCATGTCAAACCCCGCATGATGCGCCGTTCCAACTCAACACACTGTGCTATTTTTATGCTAAAAGCATTCAAAGGTGGCGCGTTTGCGCGCATACGCCCCTATAACATCTTTACAGTGCATCACGTTTGCTTGAAGATAAATCCGTTATCGCGCTCGTGTTCGCCGAACACAGAATAATAGAGTGCATCTGTGTTCCACTTGCGCTCATGTGATAACTAATAATGCACGTGTAATTTAAAACTGTCCAGCAAAATCGTTCAAAATTTATAGGTTTCAAAATAATTATGACTTTGTGACTCAAAAGGTATGTACATGTATGACTTGGGAACAAATACGAGCTTGGCCAGCTCAGGAGGACTGGACCCTGATAAAAATGTCCGTCTCCTTCCACTTGGGCATTATCAGGGTCCATTCTCCTGTTCTGGTCTTAAATGAACATTTCTGACTGGCCAGGGATATACATGATTTACTTCCACACTATGATATACTAACTAGTGTTTTATATTTATTGTTTTTTAGTTGGCCGTAATATTTTTTTAATCAAGAAATTAGCAAAATGGCACTCCAAAATGGATCCACAACCGCTTCGGGCAGGGTTCTTAAGAAAAGCACCCCCTAACATGGAAACACTCATACGAACCATTGCTGGCTGCTAGAACAAGCCTTGTGATTGGTCAGATTGCGTGAGATTTGTGATGCAATAGGCCGTCCAGATATGGTAATACTCCAGACTGATCAGGGGCATCTCCAACAACACAGTAACAAAGCCAGTGAGTCCTGAAAAACCTTTTGCCCAAATATTTTGCGACTTTTTCTCTACATTTCTCTCCAGAGAAGTTGGGATTTTGTATGAAGATTTTAGAGTTCATTTTGGCAAGACATGATAAGCTTTCAAATCTCAGTCTCTCTAAGGAATTCAATACAACCTGACCTATACATGTTATGCTGAAAAGTTTGATGCCTCTTTGTGGGACCAGCTGATCTAGTCTCTCTTTTCAAGGGTCACCCAGATTTCTTCCTTTGGTGAGGTGACCAGGCCGTGTTTGGGCTCCACCACTTGCCCAGGCACCAGACTGAACGTGAAAGCCCGAAAGAGGATGGCCAGGAACACCGACACCTCGGTGTACGAGAAGTGCTGGCCGGGGCAAATGCGCTTGCCAGCAAAGCCGAACGGCTTGAAGGCATCGCGGTGACGCTGGGTCATCCTCTCTGCGCTGAAGCGCTCTGGATCAAATCTGATAGGAAGAGGGACGAATATTTTGTCAATAAACTGGTGCCTTCTCTGCAAAACAAATCCTCCTTCCTCTCCCAAAACCCACGGGGAGATTCGGAAGGCCCTCTTTGTGTTGAAGTGCTCCAAGTCAAATCTGACAAGAAAATTTAGACTAATCATTCCTAAGTACAGTGTACCTCATTTTCAATACCAACCCTTTTTAATCTACCAAAACTCATCGGGAAATATTGGAACATCTTCTTTGTACTGAAGTACTCCAAGTCAAATCTGACAAGCAGATAGACCAATCCTTCCCCAGTGCAGAGTACCTCAACTTCAACATCAATTCTCCTTGACCTTCCCAAACCTACTGATCAAGTAGGTGTGGGGTCTAATGGTTGAAAACTGTAATTCCCAATTGCAAGGTCAGGTTGCTAATCCTGCTAGATAAGGCATTGTGTTGTGACCTTGGGTATTGTCACTGTACCTTCGCTCGGTCCTCTCCATCCAGGAGAATAGAATGGGTATTAATTAATTAGGAGGGTAGAGAGGGTTACTTGTGGTTGATTGTCTTGGTAGCACCTGAAATGGTTGCAGTGATGGCTGTATACTCCCCAGGGCGTGGAGATATTTTGTTGGCTTGTTTCTGGGCTCGGTAAGCACAGATAGTATGGTGGCAAGTACATAAGGAGTCCATCAAGTACTGGAATGTGCTACATAAATATGACATATCAGTATTATTACTAGGACGTTTTGGAGGATCCCCCTTGTGCTGAGTGGTCTATGCAGTAGACGCTTGCTTCCAGAGCAGCATCTATTACACGCATGACAATTCCACAATGAATTATGTCAGTTGATTTTATACTGACCACCAGATTTGGACCAATCAGCAGGTGCCTATTATCATACCTTCTGCTGGAAACCATACAGCATACGAACGGTCAGGTTGGTCAGGGTCTCGTGAAACTTATTTTTCCCTCCACTGTTGTTCTCCCAAGATTTTCAAGAAAACTTAGCAAATTTTGATAGACAAATGTAAGCTTTATTCTTGTCATGTCTGGCCATACCTGCTTGATCAACATGGCTTGAACTTAGGTTGAAGCTGATCAAGTTTTAACATGTCATCACACAGAGCACAAGTTTCATTTATGCCATCATGTCTACCGAGTCAGCAGAAAAACTTTGACCAATCAACATCCTCCGTCATTATCCGCGATGACTCTGATTGGCTGATACGCTTTGTTGCATAAAATTTGCATGCACACGTGTATGGGATGTCCGTATAAAGCAGATGTTGGAATAAAACAGGTGATACTCGGACTATATCTTGAGGAGCTCTAAATCAAATCTGATAAGAATATAGTTGAATCGTTCCTTCATTACACTGATCTTCTTAACCTGCTATGTCCTTCAACAAACCCTTCTCATATTTCTATGGCAATTTTCAACACCCTTTTTTCACGCCTGAAAAAAATAACTATCAAACTCACTTCTTGGGTTCAGGCCACAGCTCTTTGTCCTGAAGCACAACACCCAACGCATGCATCACTGGAGTCTGAAAATGAACAGCACATGAAAGACATCCAAACAATTAGGCTATGAGGTAAACATGCACTGGAGAGAGACAGATTTGCAATTCCATTTTTTAAACTTCAAGACCCTAAATGCTACTATTTCTGAAGCTGTTCTGCCCCTCTTTTACCTCACCAACCCACAATCACAATGGGGGCACCAGATCACATTTTTTGGAGGCAATAGACTGGTTCCGTAACTTTACATAACTGTGAAAGAAAGAATCCCCAATCACACAAAAGATGGCTGCGGTCACAAGATTGGAAACCTGACTGAAGCCCAGCTGCTAATTTTAAGCGGTTCAGGTCTTCCTGCCAAACCTGCAACACGGTACCATCTAACCACAAGTGTGACCACAAAAACTGAGGAGTATCAGTATTCAGGAAACCACAATATGGCTGGATAACTCAGATGAGAGAGGAGTGGTATAGTTATGTGTCTAACTCCAACCCTGGTCAGCTGTGATGAGTATCTACATGTGTATGCCTGAAGCCGACTGACTGTGGGGAGTATTACTCTTTTCACTTTTCAGTTTTGTAACCTTAACAAATTCAGAACAGCTTCTCTGTCAACACATCTGCATCAGTGTTGTGGTCGACACCCCATCAGACCATCACAGGGCCATTACAGGACCTGACAATCATGACAATTAAGACCATCACAAGACCTACTGCCTACATGTATAAAAGTCAAGTCACAAGCTATTCAAATGAACTGTGACACAAAAGGGTTTTGTCTTGTCACTGTTCAGCCCGTGACAGGTCCTATGCCTGATCTTGCAAATGATCTTATATACATTGATTTGGACGTACATTTAAGACACGGAGGGACCTCGGCCCAATTTCATGGCGCTGCTATGAAGCCCAAGATATTATGTTAACAGAGGCTCTGTGTTTTTCACGGGGACTGTAAGCATTATACAAGCACCGCAAAAGGCATGCTTACTTTGGAGAAAAATTTGCTTGACCTGGTGACAAAACAAACAATGGAAGTCTCTGTTCTCGCAGCTGTAAGCATGACCAGGCAAAGCATCGCTATGGAATACTGGTATTCCTTAACCATCTGCCGCCGGGGTTGCCAGTACCGGACACATTTTTCTTTATACGCGTGGCCAGGGTCTCCAAAATCAGACAAAGGGAACTAGGCCTTGTAACAAAAGACCGTACCCATAATAAAAGACCAAGCTGCTGGGCATTACTGACATTTTTTCACTCTCAAACGAGGAGATAATCTAGCCTTGTTTTGAAACAATATACCACAGTTTAGGGAATTTAGCACGAGCGAATTACCACCGGGGACAAAAGCACTCCACCACCACAGCGATGAGCCACACAGTACCACTACACTCTAATCTGGCTCCTATTGAAAAGAGGTCAGCAGCGCACTGTGCCAGGTTAGTGAACAAAAGAAACTTAGATAACATCGCACAATCTGGGCTCTTTTACAAAACGCAGCAGGCCTGGCTGAAATACTCCAGCATCAACAGAGGTTGTCTGTCAGATTAGAGTAGAAACCAGACAGTCCTTCGTGTGGGTGTAAGTGTCCAGCAAATGAAGATATGAATTTTTAACGAATTTGAAAACAGAAAAAAGTAAATTATCCCATCCTAGCATCATCAACATTCATAAATGCCCTCGGCGCGAAGTGGTTAAGGTGTGCAAATTGTTCTACTGTAGTGAGCACGGCCTTTCTGCTAAATGTTAAGCAACGCCGCGAAAGTGGGTGAGGACATTCCTCAATCAGACCTTTAGGGTAACAGTGTACCCACATCAAGCACCAAGAAATTTCCAACGTACCCCTGGGGGGATAACATGACCCCCGAGTTCAGATTCATTGTCCTGGAAGCGGGCGGCATACGGAGCAAGCACAGATACGCGGAGGCTCTCATCGAGCACCTGACGCAGGTATCTGTTGAAAACAATAACTCATCGCATGTAAAACAAGTTAGCCATGAAGTTGCCTGTCATACTAGCAGGTAAAAAAAACTTCCAGTTCTCCAAAATGGTGGGTTGCATCGATTCAGGGAGGGGGTTTGGACTTACTTAAGTTGTCCAAGATGCGAGGGCTCGACCTCATCGCTGCCGATGATTTCCTTGATTTCCTGGTACAGCTTCTCTTGGCATTTCTTATGGGTTGCCAGGAAGTATATCGCCCAGGCCAGCACTGCGTGATCAACAGAGCAGTATATGTAGAGTTACCATGAGCATTTATACCTACACTGTGCTCAGTCAGTGAGTTTGAGCATGTTACCCCTGTTAACGTGAGTACATAATGCTGAGCTACCCACAGCTAAGAGAAAGCATACACTCAATCAGACCAGGAGCATTCATTTGCAAGTGTTTAGTTCCAAGGTAGCACAAACGTAAGTATCCAGTCACACGACATGATCCAAAATTAATGCACATACAAAATCTACCTCCATCTATGAGTACTGAAAGCAGCCAATGAAAATAGACGGCGTCAAGATTCTTTTTATTAGCTGACCCAAATAGCCAAAAGCTTTTTGATCCACTCACCTGTAACAAGCACAGGTACACAAAATGTAAAATAACTTGTGCAATACTTTGTAGAAGCATTACAAGTAAACAATAGGTCACATGCTTTTAATACACAGAACACAAGAAACTCATATTCCAGAAACAGAAACTCAAATTCCAGAAACGGACATTCATTATCCAAAAAATAGACACTTGTATTCGAAACAATAGAGACTCGTATTTAAGACAACAGAAACTCATATTCTGGATAACAAAAAGTCTTACTCCTGACAACAGAGACTTGGATGCCAGATAACAGAAACTCATATTCCGGTAACAGAAACTCATTTTCGAGGCGACAGAGACTCAAATTCGAGACAACAGAAATTCCAGTCAAAAATAAATCAGATTTCAGACAACAGAAGCTCATATTCCAGAAAAAGGAAAACAGAAACTCATAATCATGGGGTTTAGCGGTGCTTCAAGAATATATTACCAGCACTCTATCAAGCCTGATGTGCATCATAGCATTGTTTACATCATCCCTAAACCCCTTCTCACCGGGAAGCGGTAAGAGCAAACGTAAACATTGAGATCCCTCAGCCCACTTTTCAGCTAATATTCTCGGCCCGCTCTCAGGCAAACACGGTGAAAGAAGGCATATCCTGGCTCTTGTATAATATATGGTGATTGGCCTTTGTGTATTGCCAAGAAATGAAAAGGCCGAATTTGCATCATAATCACCAGCTTCACAATAGTCCCCACTTTGATAAGAGGCAACGGGAATGTGGAAGCGTGAATAGAGCCGCGTGCCACCGAACAATGATCCTTTTCACTGTGTAAATCAAAGTGTGCAGAGCACGCAGCGCCACAAATCGAGACTTTGCGGTTTGGCAGGTGGCCTTCGCGGCCAAGCGAGGCTGGAATTCTCGGAGTCGGCTTTCAGAAAAAAGTCCCGGCATCATGGGGTTAATACTAACAATAGCCACAGCAGCAACAACAACAAAATAAGCAAGAACAATAACAATATCCTCTAAAGTACATGAACATGTACCTTACATTGCCAGTCTCAAAGATCCTTACAACTGGGTACAATTACCATTAAAAAAGATTTTACAGTTTAATAGTCTTCACGCTTGATGGAATACAGGAAATTAAAGAATTGGGGAGAATCTCAGACAGCATGCCACGTTGTATGGACAGGCACAGATTCACAAGAGGCAAGTGAAAGTAACCATGGTAACTGTCCACACTTCTACAGTACTCACAATGTCCAGAAGTGTGGAATCCGCCCACCATGAAGCTGATGCAATCATCTAGTATCTGACTCTCGGGCAGCTCGTTTTCGATCAGCACGTCAATGAAGACCTGGTGCCCGACTGTTGGGTTTTCTTGGCGTTGCTTGATCACGTCACGGACGGTTCCATGCAGGAAAGCCAAGGCTGAAAGTTAGGAGTAAAGTATGCTTTATTTAAGATCCTGGGAGGAAATGTTTAAATTACATCACCGAGACTTGCATATTGATCAAAATGGATCGACATGCAGTTGATAAACCCCTTCTTGGGACTGCACCAATGACTCAGACAGACCCTACAGTACCGGGAACAGAAAAACTAAGGCTCTTCAGACTTTGCACCAATGATTTCCCTTCTGACAAACATAAAGTTCTAGTAACGGTATCATGCGCTCAACATTCCTTAGCATGGCATTCCAGGGAAGAGCAATATTTCCTACACATATAGCTCCCTAACTGTATCTGCTGAAAATTTCAAGCCATAATCTCGTTGTCCGAACATCCATGAACCCAACCACTTTACCGTTGTGGGGATCTACACTGTGCACCGACAATAATGTCAACCCCATTGCGAAATTTACACGAATGGGGACTTGTAGAAAGTGGCCTGAAATCTAGTCATTCTTGTTCTAGTATCAGAACGGGTCAGGGTCTTGGAGCACCGAAACAAGGCCTCCATGTCAATTATTGGACAAAGATTAATCAACTTTTGCGCCTCAATAATCTCTTGGAATGAAAACCTAGACCTGCACTCCTCTTTCCCTCTAAATATGTAGCTTTCCCATTTTCTAAAAGACGGTTAAACTTAACAGCACTGCCTCTGACTTCGACTAGTCCCCTTTCGGGACTCAACAGGCCAACAGTTTGAGAAAACAGAAAACCTGCATCATGGTTTGGGCAACGTACACTGCACACACATTATGTTTCATGTGAATATTGAGGGAGACATGGAAGCAAAGCCGAGGACAAAACCTGAGGTTAATCAACATATAGATCCCTTTCACTAGACACCATCCATAGGAAAATTATAACTGCATCAACGTGAACAGATGTGTGACGGGGGGGATGTAAATTTTCTATATTCGTGAGCACTGATCGAAATATCTTCCAAATGTGCTGCAGCTGATACACACCACACACATTTGAGGTAAAAAATGCCAATACATGTACACAGGGTAATCTACATGTATAAGAAGTGATGTCACTGAGAGAGACCTATTACATGCATAGTGGTTGACACTGATTCAAAGCCTCTGAGCATTCTTTGTCCAAAGAAGTAGCCACAGCAAGGGAAAAACCTGAAATTTAGTCAATCCCTTTGCTCTCCGTCAAGACAGACAAAGACCTAGAGTTCTTGAGGAAGACAAGCAAAGTCAGGGACAAAGCCATGGTTTAAATGAATCTCTCAATCTCCATTACGACAAACCGACTCATTTTAACGGAAACAATTCTGAACTCAGCTGACCTTCCTTGAACTTTTTGTCTCTGTCACTGCCCTCCTCTGGTAGACCTTCAGTTAGACTAGCTTCCATCTCATCCCAGCACTGAAACAAAAGCAAGCAGGCTCTTTCAAAATCAGGCCAGGCTTGGGTACAGTATCTCACTTCAAAGACTCCAAAACATTATGAATGGTAGGAAACAATCCAAACAAGGGTCAACACGAACATAAAAACGCTCTCAGGGGGAATCGTTCGCGCTGCAACAATTTCATCCCCAGGAATAGTTGTATCTGAACTCACAATTCCATAGGAATGGCAGAACTTGCGAATGTTGGCATCGTCCTTGAAGTAATCCCCAAAGGAGGTTTGCGTCAGGCCTTTGATAACGATGGCATGGCAGTTCTCGACCAGTGGGAGGTGTTCATCTTTTGGTACTCCTGATAGCTTCTTCACAAGCTCATTCGCTAGCTGGAATTGGAATTGTTATTCATATCAGACTTCCACGTACTGTATGAAAAACAATTACATCACCGTAGTGTGTGTTTACCAGACTTCTTGTCCTCATTGGGCTGGTTCACTATCAATCAAGAGCATGGAAACCTCACAGGTGTTAACCAGTGAACAGCCTGTGGAGGTACCCTGCCCACATGTTATCATGTGTTCAAGCATGTGGCAATTTACACGAGGTCATGGGCTTGAGCCCTGCCCGAGTTACATATAGCTTATGCGTTACCAGTAGCTTCTTGGCGCGCCCTCAAGACAATGTACAGTGTTTATGAATATGTACGTTAGGTTGTGAAGGGGAAAACACTGGATGTTATGCAAGCCACCGGCACTTCCACCTGCTTCAGCAAAAGGTCAGTATACGGTTGGGGTCGGCATTTTGTGGGGAGGAGGGGGAAGTGAAACATGCAGGTAGAATGACACAAGATTCTTCTGGCCTACTTCTCACCTCATTGAAAGTCTCGTAGAAATACTTCAGACTCTCGTGCCCAAACGGGGCGTCGTAAATGTTGCGCCTGCTCCGGCCGTCGGACTTGTTGGTATACTGAATTGAGTTCTTGCCGATCATGGGCTCAAACAAAGCGAAGAGCTCGGCTGAATGGGGCAAAGACATTTAAATGATGGATTGGACGCTGATTCAAAATAGGAGAAACTTACAGACCCAGCAGAAAAAATTTCGTTTTACAAGCTTCACGCAAGATAATTATTTTATGATACATGTACCCCTTGAAAATGACCTTTGCATTATACCTTATTGCCAGTTTTTCTAGTTTATAGGGCATCTTTTTGATGTTTATGCCAATGCAAGTTTCGATGTACAGTGGAACGTCATTATACCGAAACACCGCGATACTGAACATTTGGCTATACCGAACATCGTCCTTGGCTCCCAATAATTTGTGCACAGAACCTACCGAACATTATGTAATGTATGAACAGTTGTAAATCAACCGAGATTTGCCACAGCATGCATCAGAGATCGATCCTGAACGGTATCTTCACGACTTTCGCGATAAACTAAATATCAATTATGTAACTCAAGATTTAACAAAAAAAACAAAAATAATAAACAGATACATTTCTAGAAATCTCAAACGTGAATGCAATGGCAAAACATCACGAAAACAGCAAATCGTAGCATCACAAGAGGGTGCATTTCAGTTAGACAAGAGAGGGTGCTATTCAACATGGCAATGAAACGTTCGGCAGTTAATTTTGCTACACCGAACAACCCCTGTACCGAACATTTAGCGTGGACCCCGTTGTGTTCATGATACTAACAATACTGGCGGTCAAGTTGCTAATGTACATGTAACTTACGGGGCCGATCAAATGGCCCAATATGCTCCTTGAACAGCTCCGGTGAGGCAATGCTGACGGTGAACTTTGGCCCAAACCAGAAGGAGGCGATGGGTCCATATTTCTCATGGAGATAGATGAGAAACTCGTGCATGCTTCCAGCAGCTGCCAAGTCTGGAAGATTACCTTCCCTGTCAAGAAATATGCAAAGAACTGGTAAGTTCTATGTACATGTACAGAACATGTACACGAACGTGGATATGCATACCTTCTGTGACTGAGCAGGAATGACCAATAAAACACATTGATATACATGTACATGTATGAATAGCTATGATTTCTACTGCATTTGTACATGTATATGTTCATGTTTTCCACAGCATTTTCAACTAATCCGTGAAGGTTGAGCACTTGTGTAGCCCTCTTGTGTTCACGTACCACAGCCGGGCGTTGTGGCCAATCTCGTCCTGTGACTTTGAGTATGTAAAACAGGGCAACTTTGTGCAGTAACTAAAAATGCCACACAGATCTGACTTACACAGTCTAGCTTAGTAACAGTCTTGGGCTGTGGTTCATGTATCTTGTCATTTGGAAAGCCTGAATTTTCAGCAGGATAGAACCCCCAACCCTTGGACTTTAATGCCAGGAAAAAAATTGCAAATATTATTTGCTTACATGTAGCAAGGCTGAATTTTCCACCAAAAAGAATTGGACCAATTTGCCATGAAATAATGCCAGCCTCAATTGGTAGTGTTGGACGGTTGAGTTCTCAAATTAGAGTACAAAGTATCATGACCTGACCTTATTGACATGACCTGAGACTTGACTTCCAGAAAAATTACTTAGCTACAACACTGGCTCTACGATGGAGTCCGTACTGTACCTTTGGTCGGAAGGGTCCATGCCAGGGATAGTGCTTCTCTTAGCCGATCCCTGCGTAGACAAACAAGCACAATGAAATTAATGTGGAATCCAGGAAGAATGACCGCATATGATTTACAGTACATGTATGTCAGTAAAGCCGTTTTGACAAGTGGGTGTGGGTTGAAGTTGGGGTCTTTTGCTAAGATGGCAGGATGATAGGGGTACAACTCATCCACATCTCCTGTTCTCGTTGATGTTGAAAGTGCACGATCAGTTCAAGGACCTGAAACTCAAAATGTCGCTCTGGCATATTATTTCTCTTTCTGGGTTGAACTTGAGTCACAAATAGCGGAACATACATTGTACATGATCTGAGGCTGAAAATCAGACAGTGTTGTACGCACACCCATATCTGTTTTACACAGAAAGTGTGGACATACCTTTGCTCTCCTGTGGTTAAGGAAACTTGAGGAAAACGTTCCTCTTTCTCCAACTAGGATAACTCCTTTGGGCTAGATTTTTTTTATGATTTCCTGGACTGTTCCTGCTCATTTTGCCACAGATAACCTTGACCCCAAAATGCCTCTGAAACTGTTTTTCAGAGAGGGGGAAACATTGTGTGGACAAGTGCGAGTCCAAACCACACCATCATACACTCTACACTTACATTATGTGAACTTCTTTTGTCATGTTTGTGCAGAGGTCCACACTATGTATGACACACCTGCACATGTATGTAGGCGAGACCATGCATCATTCACAAGCCCTGGCACAAGCAACAGGCCTAGGGTGACCAATGACAAAGGGGTGCCTTCTGATGCAAGTTAACAGCTTCTGACTTAATTTAAAACAGAGGTTTTATGATGCTCTTGTGAGGTCTGTGATGGTCTGAAGAGGTCTTGAATACAACGGCGACATCAGGCATGTCTCAATATACAGGTTTCTATGTGTACAGCGGGTGTATACATGTCTCGTTCTCTGTTCTTAAAGCAGTTTATTAAAAGCTCACATCTCATGGCACGGGGCCCCTGAGATCTCAGTTGTGACATGTGCAATCCTTTTGGAACCTTGGGCATGCAAGGAAAGACATTCATATAGAGTAAATCTCTGATGATTCGATGTATGTGCATGTACGTGTAATCCTGGATTGGATTTCAAAAATTTGTTACAGTCATTTACATGTACGGTCATTTGCAGTCATGGCCTCACGAGTGCCGTGCTGCATGCGCTCAGCCCGTCAATGTGGGTCGTAAATATAAATTTGTGACTGACCTGCCAGGGGATAATGGGTACATGTACATGTATGTACATGAATGTCACAAGAACAGTACTGTACATGTGCAACGTACATGTATGTCTGACTCCCAGGGTTGAAATAATTGTAAGGCATTACTGGACAAACCTCCTGGGGGCCTGGCATGAAAACAAAAGCAGTGCGACGATATCAAGGCCAAAATGTCGGGGGGGGAGGGGGGGTATAGGGTTAAGGCATCGACACACACTCCAAGTACCCAAAGCTTACCGGGTAAAAGTACAAGACTGCCACGATCAGCGCCACGACAAACGTCACAGCAAAGATGGCAAAGGCAAGCATGGTGTGGATGGTTCTTGTGCTCACTCTGGGGGAAATCACAGGTCATCAGTCTACCTAACACAGAAATCAATGGAATATACATAAAGCAAAGCAAAGTAATAACACAGTGCTCAGCTGCGGTCTTTGTTGAATTGCTCTGTGTATGCCAAGCACGTTGTACTGGTGCACCATAACAGGTGGCTTGACCTACCGGTGTAACTCCATAAGCAGTTTCACCAAAGATTGTATAGCGCCGTGTAGCGGCGCAAGATGGAGAACTCGGCCAAAAGGGTGTTATCACCATGGGCGCCATTCGAGTGTGACCGTTAATGCATGTAAATGCATACGTGTAAGCGCAGGCATCCAGCCGTGCGTGCCTATTGCGGCGCCGACACCTGTTTCTTTAACACAGCGTATTCACACCCAAATGGCGCTCATACGATAACAAAATTTTACGCGTATTCACAGAGAAGTTGTGCATCTTGCGCCACTGCATGGCGCTATACAATCTTTGGTTTCACAGTGATGCATGTATGCGCCATCTTGTTCATACAGGCAAAAAGAAAGAGGAAATGAATATGTGTTGCTGAGCATGCATGTCGATCAAAAACTTCTGCACTTCAAAGCCATCATGCATTCATTACAATATATGCACTGCGACTTGCTTGTTACAAGCAACACATACTACTGTATGTTTGCTTTGAGGACAGGTTGTCCATGTACATATATATTACCGTGGGACTGCTTATTCAATGCCATTCCGTAATAGAAAGGAAAATTACAAGGCTGTTACACTACAATGTATGTATGCTCAAAGTATTAATCAGCACGGTATTGATTGTGAATTTTGTTGCTAACTGGTTCTGCATGTTTTCTCTCATTTATCTACAGCCAACCACAAAGCCACATTAATACAGCCCACGATACTAATACAGGCAGTGGGTATATAAAAAGCATGTACATTGTACATGTACAAGTATACAAGTGCATCTACAATTATTACTTCTCAGGGCACCATGGCATCCCACAAAAAGTGCCACAGTGAGAATTAAGTCACAGTATTTTCAGCACGTAAAGGAATTTGGCATCAAGATTTCAGCTTTACTTTGGTGCACATGTACCAACCCTTCTGCTAGACTGCGAAGCGATTATAGTGAGGTGATATCCTGGCAAAATACATGTACATGTACAGTGCCTACATGTATGGGTGGATGTATATATCACTATTTCCCCAGCTCACTGCAAACATACGGTATCCATTCCAGAAGGCATACCAACTACATGTGCCGGTATCTCTTGAGTTTACGTAATCTGTTAATGGTATGATACACAAACCCTGTGTGCATCATACCGTACATTGAACAGGTACATGTACATGTATGCTGCCATATCAGGCACAAATTATGGCCAATGATGAGGCATAACTGAGCAGATGCAAACTACACTTAATCAAATTTAAAATGCACAATTTTTCAGTTTTGTGCAACCACAGATATTGCCATGAAAATTGCACGCAATGATAACAATTGCATGGAAACATGAACCACAGGCAACAGTCATACAAAAGACTGACATCAACTACATGTTTTGCATGATATTGTCAGGTCAGTTTCAGGTGTGATGTACAGTGTGACACGTACACATGTACTTCGGACCGGGGCACGGTACATCACGCTGGTGTGACGGCAGTGAGAAATTTCGCCATTCAAGCATTTTAATGAATAATTTCATGTGAGAGTAATTAAATTCCCGTTGACATTTAATTTTTTTCATTCTAAAAGAAATTCCCTGTAAGAGCTACATGTACATGTATTAAATTCCCTAATAATATTATACACGTACAATGTATATCTGCAATAAAATTAAAAGTGGGATCCCAGACAAAATAAACATAAACAATCAGGGAAAACAAAGATTTTGAAATGACCCACAAACTACTGGGCCACTACGTATGTACAGTATAGCAGTTTGTCCTGGAATCCTACAGTAGCCTTTACTCAAAGCAACAGTTTCCCAGCTTGACTGTGCCAGATACATGTACGGTAGCTGGAGACTTCAAAGGGAATGGGAATCCCAGTGCGGCCAGTCACCTGCCTGCTGCGGCCGGACCCAGTCGAATGCCAACTATCTAATCGTCAATCCCTTTAAATCGTACAGTTCGAGGCACAAAAATTGCACACGTTCAAACATTGCGCTCAACAGGCCTAATGCTAGCCCCAGACTGGGGGCCAGTCTACTGGAATCCCTCCATATCCTAGGCCCCACAGCGGTCCATTCAAAAAATTGGGGATGAGGTGAAAATGCCTTCTAATCTATAGTATAAAAACCCTTTTTCCGTGTATGGATCACTCACCTCATCAATACTCTGATGTATTACTTTGGCAATTTCCAATTTGTAGAAGTCCATGAAATTTTGGTTTTGATCTGGGTCATTCGTTTACTACAGTGACTAACTCCCAATCGCTGACCAACTGACCAATACCACACATAGTTGGGATCTGTTTGGTCTGGGAACCGACTTTTTGAATGGACCGCTGTGGGGCCTAAGATAGGGTGGGAGTCTGGTAGAATAGCCCCCAGTCTGGGGCTAGCCTAAAAGTAATGCCAGCTCATGATTTACCGGTAGTAATCACCTTGGCTAGGCCTACTATAAACGTTTCTGACTTTGGCAATGCATTATGGGTTTGGATGACAAACAAGCAATGCATTTTATGCACAACCCTATGGGATAAGTGAACCAGTCAGAAATCAATTTATTTTTCTACTTATTATGTACATGTACTTGTTCACTAACTCATATGCATACAATGGGTATACTATTATCATGCAGATTAGGCCTAGTATACATGTACATTGTACATGAAACGAATAAGTTTTCAAATGTTTGTAAGAAGAAGAAATCCTTAACTGTATTTATAAGGGCACCAGTCACTATATGGGCTGAAAATGAACATGACTTGTCAATGCAGTATGAAGCCTTGATTTTTTACTAGATAACACTATAGCTACTAGAGGCACCTTGGTCTACTCCGTTACTGTTCAGGCCTAATCCAAACCATCACCATTGCGGATGTCGGTCATATCGGTCACATGGCTGTGCCACAGGGTGTCATGTCATGTCCGCATATTTTGAACTGGGTCGGCACTATTGCAGCATACCCCTCCACCCACCTCTTCCACATTGCAATCCTGAAAATAAATCAATCATAGAGGCCGACCTCTAAAGGAGATTTTACTCACATAGTATTGCAGATGTAGAAACGTTACACGTCGGCACCACGTCCACACATAGAGATTAGTGGTCCACACCTCACACGCGGCACACGTTTGATACTGTTCGTACAAACACACTACGCATGCGTCGAAAGCGGTAAAAGTTGGTTTAGGTATTCCCCTGCTGTAATCAGACTTGAAAGCAGCCTGTAGCACATATTGAGTATATCTCTATCCGGTTCGTACATGTAAGTGACTTCTGTAAAGTTTAGGAAATCTTATTGATTACCATCAGACTTAAATAGCGCCCTCAATGGTCAACCTGTTGCGCAAGTAGTTATAGTTAGGTACCATTTACCCTCATATTGGATTTATTCGTACTGCTGAAGTGGACACTAGACGTTCTTACCACATGTGCACTGTGCAATCTTTGCATGTACTTTCCATGTGATTCAGATTTATTTCATTTCATTTATTTCATTTATTTCATTTTTTTGGATCAACATTTCACAGAATACAATAACAAAGTTTATAAGAGAGAAAGAGAATACAAAAGACGTACAAAAGACAAATAAACAGTATCAGCTCCCGCTGGGTTACTCAAAAGAATTGGTTTCCGCAGAGCCGGGGCCAGTCTCCAACTGGTTAAACAGGAAACAATAATAACTATAATAAATATGGGGCAGCGCGGACATCCGGGAATTTCACAAAAATTAGGGTAGCAACCACACCGCGGCCGGTGAAAACAACTGCAACGAGCGTGCGCGTGCGTACAGGTCAAAGAAAAAAATTGTTTAACCCCGGCGATCCTCGGACTGGCCCTTTTGGTTCAAGTTCGCCGTGCGTACGTCGCCAACGTCACTCAGTCAGTGTTTTCACTGGTGCAGTACCTGTCATTTTGTGAGAATCCCGGATGCCCGCGCTGCCCCAAAGATCGATACATAAATAGGTATGACTTCTATGGCAGAATCATAAATTATAACTTAGGCCTAACATAACTTATAGCTTAAATAAAGAAGTGATGTGAACAACTTGAAAGTATCGAACATATTTTGTAGAGCTGTACCTGTATATTAACATAATTATGAAAAACAAACTAACAAATTTCTAACCCTCATCAAAAACAAAACCAAAACAAAAACCACAATAAAAACAAAAACCAAAACATAAAACCAAAGGGGAAGGGGGCAGCTGCACAAGCCTGCAACTCCCATCCGGGCTAAAACTTAAATTGGGTAACTTAATTCATGACGGCAATAAGTTGTCTAAATGGCATGGGAGATATAGGGTCTCAGCCTGAAAGAGGTGATGTAGTCTTTTGGAGGGGGTTCCAGACAGAGATTAAATTGGAGGATCACCTAGAAGTGAATTGAAAAGAGAGTAAAAACGAAAACGTGAATTGAAAAGAGAGTAAAAATGAAAACGTCGCACAATTACGGTACGCGCGGCAGTATATTGATGTTTGAAGAGCTGCAAGGCTTCCTTGTGTTGGGCCAGGGAAGAAGGTGTGACGGGATACATTTGTAGAGGCATTTGATGGCAAAAGAAACACTTAAGCCTCTGAGTCGGTTGTAGAGAGGGGGACTTTAAGTTTAGGTAAGTGTTGTTCGTAGGAAAGGGAAGAGGCAGTATTGAAGGGAAGGCAAGATTTTATGAAGCGCCGTTGGATTGCGCCTCAAAAGGCCTATCTGGATGTGACTTTTCTGATGAGGTAATCAAACGGGTAATCCATATTCTAGAACAGGCCTGCGAAGAGATTGGTAAAATTTAAGTAATTACATCTGCATTCCTGGAGTTTACTCTCCGTCGGATGAAGCCAGACCGTTTGGAACACTTAGAACGAATCATGCATGTTCACGTGTTTTGTCCAGGTAAGGTCGCTTGACAAAATAACGCCTATGGGTATTTGTGGGAAGTCACGACTTGGAGGGGCTCAGAATCCTGGAGATAGTAAGGAGACAGGGCTTGGTTTCTGGATCGGGTGATATGCATAACTTTGCACTTTGTAGAGTTCAGCTGCATGTGGTTCTCTTTGCAGCATTTGGAAATAGAGTTGAGATTTTCATGTATAACGATTGCAATGGTATCCGAGATTCCGGTCTGACTTCAAGAAGTTCTTTCAGTCTGAGGCTACCCATGACCAAGCCGCCTTCGTCCTGCGCCATTCATTAGACAAGAAGCCGCTGCAGGTGGTTGGAGCCATTGAAGACAATGTTGACGAGATATGGGAGAGATTGGATGAGCGCTATGGGGACCTAATCAAGATGGCAGACGCAATTATGCAGAATTTCGAGAAGACAAAACCTATCAGAGATGGAGAGGATAAAAAATTGACTTTGTGGACGTCGTCGAAAAGAGTTTCAATGATCTCGCAAAGATGGGGATGGAACGAGAGATCTCGAATACCAGAGTCTTCGCATGATATAGAGAAGACATTGGCCCCTGCCACCCGGAGGGAGTGGTCTCGTTCACAGCATGATGGGAAATCTGATATCGACCGATCAGACAGATTTCCGGCTTTCATTCTATCCCTGCTGAAAGAAAGGAAAAGCGTTGAGTATGAAATGTCATAAATCAGAATTTCTACCTACAGTTCACCGCGAACCAGCAACAATGCAACACATGTGAGGGAGAAGAACGAATCTTCCAAGCAGATCGTCAGGAAACGCCTCATTCATGATGCAGGGCAGCACAATACATCAGAATGTCGCGCCTACTTGGCCAAATCGCTGCAAGAGCCAGAAAGCTCAACTAGTGAAGGAGAAAGGCGCGTGCTTCTGCTGCCTTACCCGGGGCCATAGAGTGAGCGAGTGCAAGAGAAAGAGAAAATGCAGTATGCATAGTTGCAATAGACTTCATCACCCATCCCTTCATGGTGATTCCATAGCAACCAATGATGTAGCCACAACTGCGACGATCAATAACTACACAGTAAATTCCTCGCAGAGAAACAACGCATGTCTTCTTCAGTTGGTGAAAATACCAGTTGGGCCTACTCACACGAATGTATTGTGGGACGGATGTGCCACTTCATCACTTGTCACTAATGCTGTTGCTGACAGTAAGGCAGCATACCTCCGAGGGACCCTGTGAAGGTATCCATCACCAAGGTGGGCGGAGCAACAGAAGAGATCAACAGTTTCAGATACATCGTACTCCTTATTGATAACCAGGGACACACTGACCTAGTATTTGCCTATGGTACAGAGCGCATTACCGCAGACATCGATAACATTGACAAGCGTGGAGTACTGAGTATTTTCAAGGTCATCGGCGTCGAAGAAATTGAGCGCCCAATTAGAGGTCAGGTGGACTTGCTCATTGGTTACAAGTATGCAGGCTTTCTCCTGACGAGACTCGGAGCAGTGAACCATCGACTTTTCTCAGAGAACAGATTTGGGACATGTCTGGGCCAAGGGACCCGATATGATGAACTCTCTTCTTGGGGTCTTGCTGCGTTTCCGAGAGAATGGAATCGCCATGGTTGGGGACATTCCAAAGATGTACCATAGCCGCATCTTTACAACTCTGAAAGACCAGCACTGCCACAGATTCCTCTGGCGAGATATGCAGGTAGTCCAAGAGCCGAAGACGTATTGCATGAGAGTTGTCAACATAGGTGACAGACCATCAGCCACTTTCTCCACGGTGGCACTGAAGAAGACGGCAGAGCTTGGCAAAGACCAGTTTCCAAAGGCAACTGAGACGATTCTGAAGTATGTATACGTTGACGAAATTGTGGAGTCTGTGAGCACTCCGGATGAAACCCGAATTTGTGCCGCCCAGACTGATCAGCTCATCAAGCCAGGGAATTTTGCTGTAAAGGGTTGGATCTTCTCTGGTGCTGAGAGTGTTGGAAATGACAAGAAGTTGCCTGATGATGACATGAGTGAAAAGGTTCTAGGGGTGACGTGGAGCCCAAGAAAGGATGTATTGCACATTGTAACCGGGGCAAACTTCTTCCTCAAGAAGAAAACAAGAAAAGAGCCAGGTCTGATGGGTGACGGACTGCCAGCAGAAATTCCCATCATTCTTACCAAGAGGATGTGTTTCAGCCAATTGAATGGGATATACGACCCATTTGGTCTACTTGCACCGTCAAGGTGAAAATACTGCGCAAGATGTGGGGCCTGAAGCTTGGCTGGGATGACCCAGTGTCCGAAGAGATGAGAGAGGAATGGTTCTCATTCCTTGGAGAGCTGCGTAAGGCTGTTACTGTCTCCTTTCAGCGATGCATTACTCAACAAGCGACTCACTTGTTTCCTCAAGAAGGAGATGAGATTGGAATTCGCCAGAGTGTTCCACACCGTTGACAGCGAGATTGTGAGATCCATGATCCAAAAGCAGAGTTATGCATGGATTCAAAACTTTCGTTGCAACTCGAATTAGCGAGATACAAGAGGCTACTGAACCATAGGGCTGCACGGTGGTGGTGCAGGGGCGAATTCTATGTAGCAGATTGGATCATTAAAGGCAAAACGCCATCTGAGATCGGACCTGATAGCGCCTGGCAACGGGTTCCAGAATTCTGCATCAATCTTTTGAGAATTGACCAGTTGAGCAGACCTGTTCAGAACGCAACCTTCCCGAGAGAACCAGAGTGGTGATGGTTACTGCTGCAGACGAGGTTGATACTTTGGCCACTATGATAGGCTCAGGAGTTACAAGAAGCCCCTGAAGGTCACAGCCAGAGTCTTTGCGATGCACGGGAATAGCAGTTTCAAAGGGTGTGTCGGAATCCTTACAGCAGACGACATTAAAACAGGCAGAGCTGTTTTGGGTGAAGGAGTGTCAGAGGCCATTGCTGAAGATTTTAGAGGGTGACAGGAAAACTTTTGATCGATGTTATGCCAAGTTGGGTCCAAAGGTCCAAGATGATGGAGTCATTGTAGTGGGAGCGCGTGTTGAGAGATGTGTACACTTCAGCTACAACAAGGAAGAGGTACCACTCCTCCCCTATCGCCACGGTAGGGGAGGAGTTCTATGCGATGCATGTCCACAATGAAGGACATCCTGGCAACCAGACTACAGTGTCCAAGATGTGCTCAAAGTTTAGAATTGTCAACTTGTACAGGATGGTTAAGAGTGTACATCACCCTTGCGTGCCATGCAAACGACAAGAACGAGACATGGCTGGTCAGCAGATGGGACAACTACCGGTGGAGAGACTCAAACCCTCACCGCCCTGGACCTACATAGGTGTGGATTTATTTGGGACTTACACAATTCAGAGTGAGGTGAACAAGAGAGCCAGAGGCAGAGCATATGAAGTGATCTGCAACTGCTTCACCACCCAAGCTGTGCATCATCTAGCCGTTGATTATAGTGCAAGTGGATTTCTGCAGGTCTTCAGGAGATTTGTGTCTCTCGGGATTTCTCAGCTAAATGTACAGTGACGGGGGTAGCAAGCTGGTTGCAGCTTCCAAAGAGTTGAAGCAAGCGATGGAGGGTTGGGATGTTGAGAGTCTTCGTGGGTTTGGGGTCACAAAGGTCATGACTTGGAAGTTTCCCGTAGCGGACTAACTCTTCCAGAACGGGGTGACTGAGATTCTCATCAAGGGCGTCAAGAAGGCCGTAGGTCATGCAATTGGCGATCAGATTCTGCAATTCCATGAGCTGCATGTTTTCTTCGAGGCAGCCGATTTGGTCACCGAGAGGTCTATACGATTTTACAGACTAGTTCATTAATATACATTCGACTGTACCTATACATATACAAAGCATGTGATTATTTTAGATATTTGAATAGCTTAGTTCCAAAATGCAATAAGTGCCCTTTCGAAAACTTTCAGAATCATGTCCACTCTCAGTTGCCTGCAGTCAGTGTCTATATATACAGCTTCTAGACAGCTAAACACAACTTTAGTGAGTCAACACAGTGATTAAGGAGTTTCGGGACACATGGTATACTGCTAAAGTTCTTCAGTATTTCATACTTGCAGAAAACCTAAATGATGTTCGAATGGATATGCCTCGTTTTAGAAATAAACCTTTCATTTCTGGTCGATGAGCCCAAAAAGAGTTTTTGAAAATATCAAGCAGTTATTTTGATACAAATTTTGTGAAAATATTATCGGACATGTTCTTATGTGCCGTATATATATTGCTTCCCAAACAGGGCGGGCCGAAACATCCATATTTTTGCCACTGGAGGGCTGAATAAACACGGGCCGACACGCATCATACGAAATTGCCGTGACTTACACAACCACAGCCAGTAACCACAACATCGAAACAACATACGCCACACTGGACTGAGTTTCAAATCTGTAAAAACAACTCTTAAAGTTTAAACACATTTCTAAATACATTTTTGTACCCGTTTTTTGACGTTTTTAACAGCGACATGTTTTGTATGCGTTTATTGGAATGTGTTGAAATGCTAAGTGGATTTCCAAAAGCTAAACATGCACCACGGAAAAGCGTTTACCTTTTTATGAACACATTCCTAAACACAGTTTAATGAAGATGTCATGGGTTGAACGTGTGCACAAAGTGGGTACAAAAAAGTGTGTGAACTCTAATCGTTGTTTTTACAGCAAGTACCATGAAATGAAGGGGGACTCAAAATCCAGTCCCTCCGTTCTAAGAAAACTCTGCTCCTGTAGGGTAAAATGCGATGATACCCGGTATAGATGTTAAAAAATCGAAAAGTGGCACGAATTGGATACCGTATTATCCAATATTAAGGTTTTGGTGAATTGAAGTGACCATGCAATAAACTTACTTTAATTAGCCCCTGAAATTTACCTCCGAGTTTTCAATTAACCTAATATCCATTATTTTTTTCTAATCAGTCTGTATTTTGAGCCTTTTGTTCTCTATACCAATTTTTAAATTCCATATTCATTAGCAGACAACCATGATGCATCTCAGCACAAAGTCTGGCAATCTTGGTCTCATCTGAAAGGGCACAAGATGCTAAGTCGGTCTAAGAAAAATATTTTCATGATTCTGGAGTTAGGCGGTAAAGAAACCCCATATTTCATGCCACTTGCAGCAGTGCTGAGCGATAGGCACCGCAATCTGCGTGGCAATACACGTGCATGTACACGTACATGTACACGTACCACAACGCCTAGTCTAATCAGACACTGCAAGGCCTAGATTACCCGAGATTATACTGAACAAAAGCGGAGAAGTTAAGCTTCAGTTATTTTGAAGAATGGACGTCCTCACTGTGGGCACACGGGAATAAAGGACATCAAAGGATGCCAAACTGTTTTCTTCAGTAAAACCAGAGGCGTGCGTTTGCCATAAATCGTTGAGAAACTATGTTGCTTAGTGATAATTGTTAAGCTAAGAGTGGGAACATTCCATGGAAAGATGGAGGCTTCCTGCTCTTCACGCTACCGGAGAGCTGTTCTGGTCATGGTCGCAGTTATCAACTTGTTCCCTTGTTGGACTCACGCAGGTAAAATAATGTGGAAAAATATCTTGAAATTCTCGGCACAGAGAATTCATGGCAAGGGGGTTGGAGTTGGGTCGAGACCAGAATTATGAAGTGTATCGAGACCATTGCGATAGCTCAGTAGAAGTTTGTGTCTGATGTAATTTGCTGATTTCTCACATTTTAATCACCTTTATCACTAAAGTGGTTAGAAAATTGCGTGATGGATAGTCGTTTTATTTGCCTGGATTTTAATATGGTAGAAGCATCGTAACACCATGCACCATCACGGTAGGCATATTTAGACATTCATTTAGCTGTCTGTCACCGTTTTACTCGTATTTTTTTCCAGCAATATTGAAAAATGTTTACGGTCCATTGAACTACTCAGAAAGAATGCAGACCTACTTATCAACGGAACAAGAAACGGAACAGAAAATCTAACATGTTTGAAAAATGTACCCGCCCCAGTTAAACGAACGTTCGCTCAGTTACTGCATGACTTTGCAAAATGAACGCTGGCTATTCTAGGCAAGCGCTGTCCGCTCGGTAAGCGCATGCATGTACCATTCAACCCTGCCGTACTTCAAGCTAACGTACCGAACCCCACAGGTTAGATTTATTGCACGCAGCTGAGCCTGAACCATATGCATGTGACCAGTCACAACAATCATTGAGGAGAGTTAGGCCACTTACTTGTGATGATTTAACCAATAACTTTTGAAACCATGAATAAGGGGGAGAAAAAAATCCTCGATATAACTCTTCCAATTTTTTTTCTAAGTAATTAACTGTTTATTGTTGCACATTATGTTGTTGGTTGAAGTGCTGAATACGTATGCTGTTTGTTTTAACTAAGATATTTCTGGTTCGGAATTTTCTTCTTCCTAATGTCTGCAGTTTTAGTGACATTAATATGAATTGTGAAAAGATGGAGTCCGAGAAAGGACACTGCGTTTTCTCGTTGTAAATATGGCATGCAGTTACACTTTAGGACTGTTTTCAAGCTGTCCTTTATTGTACATGAATTCCATCTGTAATATTTGTTGTACCATATTCAAGGGCACCGTAGCGGATGGTACCGGCATGTTATGCTAACTTGGATAAGCAAAGGTGTGATTAGTGTCAAAGTGTCTTTGATGATTTGTTGTTTTGCTTTGTGAAAAAAGCGCCATCTATATTTCTGTCATCCACGGAAATTGTTTCTAAATGGGTTTTACCTTCGTGACATCTTTGATATTTCTAAACATAAACCCTGTAATCTGTTGTCTGAAAGCTTCTAGAAGGGCTTGGGCTCAAACCCGTGACATTATTTTCTGGTGTAGATGTCGGTTTATCTTACCATTTATCACCCAAACAAGTGATTTGCATTCTCATGCAATAGGGAATGGCTGGGGACATGAATTATTGTGTGGAATTTGTCCGGACACAAGAATCTAAAACGGGGAACCACCCATGGCTGGAGATACTAATTCCTCTCCTGTACTCGGGGAACTTAGGTAGGACAATCAGACATGCCCACATTTTTTTCTTCTCCAAGCAGAGAAAAAATGTCCTGCTTTCCAATGTCAAGTCCACTCTTTCAATCGTTTCTGTACATGCGACTTAGAAAAGTTTGAGTCCAGGCTTGGCCCATGCTTTAAGTGCATTTGGTTTCCAGTCCATACTCGCTCTCGCAGGTTTTCTCCGGGTACTCCGGTTTCCTCCTGCCTCTAAAACTGGACCTTCTTCCTAACTGCGTAATGTAATGCTGATTAATAAAGTATATGAATAAACGTACAGTTATTGGCGCAAACAACAACTTAGAAAATGAACGGTGGTGATGATTCCGCATCACGGCTTATTACTGTTTGTCTTGCCAGAAACCACATCAGCGCCAAGCACAAGGTGGAGACAGCCCCAGTATCATGGCTTACAAAGAACTGGGACGATGGTTGCCCTCATTCTTGGATGTGTTATCGTTCCACTAGGGCTTGTTGGGTTTCTAATACTGCTAGTTAACAAGTGGTGAGTTTAGAGCCCAAGCATAAGGTATGCACAGATACCTACGGCACTTATATTACAGTGGAACGTCCGAATACCGTTATTTTGACAGCCTCCAACCTCACATGAAACCATGGGCGGCAGTAGTTCATCAGCGCAAAGGTCTATAAAGCGATGTCAGCACCATAAACATGCATCAGTACGTACGTTGCGCATCAACAGTGATAATTGAAAACTACTTTGTGTAGGCCTATGATGCACAATTGTGTTCTATTTCGATAGGTTTTCCAAAAAGGTTGTTCTTTCGATAAACTGGGGCCTTAGGTATGTTCACTGGCATCAATATTCCTCGCGCACCTGAAAAAAAATGAATAATGTGATGATTTTTTCAATCTCAAGTTTAGGATCAAATCACTACTGTTTAATAGCCTCGACTTCGTCATTGTTAAAAGGTAATTTGCTTCTAATAGTTTGAAAGATTTTGGAAAGAGTTGTCGGCGCTCTTTCAGATAAACTCGAGATAATGCCATGATGTCGAACCATTGTTCTTTGTTTAAATTTTATAATGTTCCTTTTAGCAGGGATGTTGGTATTTATCGTAATTTCATCTTCTGTTTATTTTGGCACTCAGTAATTAAAAAACAAAACAAAACAATGAAAAACGATTGAAGTTAGAACTTGAGTAGAACACGCGCAACAAGTGTTTAAGTATCGTGTTTGACGGTCAGTTTGCAGTGGGTTAATCAGTTTTGTTTTCATGGTGTCAAGCAGTACGCCTCATGGGAAAAAAGTTCTTACGCCAGTTGTTTTCGAACTTCAACTATTTTAAGGCTGGTTCTCACAAGTACTGCAGGCGAATGCGAAAAGCAACACAAATTTGACGTCATGAATGTTTGCGGCGAATTTCGCTCGAGTCGAAATGTGCTCAACTTTTACCAATATTTGATCTGACGTCACGAATTTGTGTCGGTGCTCGCTTTCACGCCAGTCGTCGGAACCAGCCTTCGAGGGAAAACCCGATGGTGTACGTTCGGCAGTACGTGTATTTTTGTATCTCGGCATGAAAATACAGCGAACTCTGTCAAACCAAAAGTCGCTTTACGAAAATGACCGAATTACTATTTGTCCAGAAAAAACCCACAAGGAACACTATATCGAATCGACATGGGATCGGTTCTTTTTAACTCGAAATAATAAAATCCGCTTTTTAAAAGTCTGGATAAAAAAGCAAAAACGATGCATAAGTGAACACGTGTTGGAGTTGGAGGCTGTACTTTGCGTGTACATAAAATTAATCTTTACATTTATTACGGGAATTCTTTCAAACTGAGTTTGGAAAACAAATCCTGAAAAATGCTATTGATATATTTGATGTTGGACGTCTCATTTCTATACACCAGCTACAGTTATTGGAAGCAATCTCGCCAAGAAAAGATCGGGCAGCCGCCCGTTGCAGACAAGCCACGACGACCACCCTCAGCCGAAAGTGCAAGCAGGCTATAACTGCATAATCCGCACAGATTAAAGGGCAAATCAACGGGCTTCACTGAAGGGTCATGACGGCTTCACTGGAGGGTCTACCGGCTTCGTTAAGGGGAATCTATGAAATGCAAACATATTGATGCAACCAATCAACCAATATTGGTGCCATTATGGGTTTGTTTTTTACTAATAAAAATGTGTACACCGATGGGTGTGATGTCATCCAAGGGAGAAAACTCATTGTTACAACAGTACTGTTGTTGTAAAGATTTGCCTGAATTATTGATATTTTCCTCTCTTGTGTGTCAATCATTGTTTTTCAATTCAGCCGAGCTTTCTTGCACAAGCCATATTTACTGAGCTGAAGCTTGGATTCCAAATTTTGACTGAAGAAATCAGTCTTCCTCCAATGACATCATAGCAACATCACTGTCTTCCGGTTTTTTAAATACAGAAATGTGTTATTCCCCCTTTCAAAAGGATTCAACAAAAAGGACTGTCTTTTACAGCATATTCATAAAGTTACGAGGAAAAACGGTTGTACGTGTATTTAGAATTTACGAAATGGGCTCTTTGGGCCTCGAGCTGGACCAAGAGAGGGCGCTATTTTCTTAGTAACGGAGGCTCTTTTGGTGGATACTGAACTTTGCCAGAACGACTGCAAAATGACCAACGTGGGTCCTTTCAACCGATGACGGGTTGCTTATGCTCCAGGGGTGATTTTAAATTCGCAAAGTTTTTGCGTGAAGAAAATCCTTCCCTTGAATTGAATTTAAATTTAGACTGATCGAATTTATTTCCACTTTTCACCTTACACTTAGCTTCCTATAAATTCAGTTTAAACACTACACACAAGAAAATGGGCACCTGTTAAAGAATGTGGTGTGCGAAGTGACATGAACTCTTATACGACCATCGTAAAAAGGAGAACCAAGTTTCTATTTTCTCGAAAACTACAGCATACTGGGCGGAAATATTTTACAGACTGATTGAGGCTGTACAATACTTTCTTTCAAGTAAGATGTTTTAGGATTATACTGTGCTCTCATTTGGGGGATTTTACCACTGGTGCACACTATACCTACAAGGCCGGTTCAGGCTTCCGACAAATGCGGAAGTGCCATATACGCACTAGTGATTGGTCAACGCATGGGTGAGTAAAAACTAAGCCAGACTGTTTTCCATGACCAGGGTGACCATTTAGCAGATTTTTGGCAAAATTTGATTAACTTTAAATAACCCCGCTTTTTACAGAAAATTTTGCACGTTGAGTATTTTTGCATATTTCAAACAGAATTCTGAAAATTCTCGGATTCTAGCCTAGCAAGCCTGCCAAAAATGTGGGACAAACATGCTCCATTGTTTTAGGCTCATAGTAATAAAAGATTCCAGCAGTCTGCCTATATCATAGTTGGCCAAGGTTTAAGCAGTTATTAACCAGTTCAAAGAATGGACAAGAGGAATAGACTAGTGGCTAGAAAAAAATGCCTAAAGTAAATGTATCATTTCAGTAGGTACTTTTTGTGTCCGTGAATAAAGGTTAATTGCAAATATAACGCAACGCACATATATTTTGAATTGGTGCATCAAACTTTACAACTTATAATAATGCAAAAGCAGTTATTACGTGTACAGTATCTCACAGTATCTGTAATTTAAAGGGGCCGATGTGATATCATTTAATCCCCGTACCTTGGCTCACAACATCTGAACCTTCCTCAAACCATCTCAGCTCTCTGGGCGTATACTAGCTCCCACATGCTGTCATATCAGGCGCGAACGACTGTAATGACCACACCAGCCATCACAGACTCCTGCCATCACCGACTCCAGACAAAATTTGCTGGACGGCTGTCCAGCACGAATCCATACCGGCTGAAGACAGACGGCAAATGAAGGCAGGATTACAACTACTAAAAGGACCATCGATCAACTGGTTGGGAGCATACCTCTATTTGTACTGGGCAACTGAGCATGTGAACGCTGTTGCGGGAACAGATTGCCAGCTGCAATGTGTTTTTAAAGGGATAGCTAGCGCCGGGGAGATGTTAGTGTAAATTTGACGCCGAACAGAGCAGTCGGCCCGCGCGCATACAGCTTAACTCAACGACGTGGGACGCGCTTATTCATGTCACGTTAGAAAGGTGAGACACTATTTTCTGTCGTCTTAATCAAGCACATAATTATTCCTCGTATCGCTTCGTGCTGTAATGCCTGTCTTTACTGTAGGCCTACTGTTTTATAAGCATTGCCGTAACGGATCTAGCTGTGTATGTTTTCAAGGGATGATTTCGTCCTTGAAGATCTCCCGAAAAGCTAGGCATAGGTAACTGTTGTCTATTAAAGGAGCTGGAGGCGATTTAAATTAATACATTTAACTAATAACAGAAAAAAATCCTGGGTGGGGTTCTTTAACCTGTGGTAAAAACTGCTCCCGATGCAAGTCATGCACCATGCCTCGCAGTCCCCAACAATGACTTGCCCCACCCGTCCATCTCGGTCTTTACCGGCGTGGTCAGTGGCGTATCCAGCTTTTGGTGTCGGGACAAGTTCATGGGGGAATGCGGCTTCATGCTCATTCAAAAGCCTTACTCATGGTCCCAACATCCTTGCTCTCATTTATTGGTTTTGTTTTCTTAGGGGTTTGGTGCTAATATTTGCTAAATATACCGATTACTTTCTTTCCTACTCTCCTATGAAGTATTCTTTGTTAAAAAAAATCCTTCCGAGGGCAAGTTGCTCCCCCCCCCGCTGAATACGCCACTGGCCGTGATGTCCCACCCACTCAATATCATTCAAGTGCAGACTTCAGGCGTTTATGCGCGTATTTTTTATCTCTTCTCATTGTGTGTCAGGTAGCCGAGACAACGTAGAGCCATCAGACATGGATAGCATGCACCTCAAGCCGCTACGGGCTGGTGAGGCTGAGTTCAAGTACAACTCCGAGGACACGCAGATAGAGAGCCCGCGTAAAACGGTCTGTGCCACGGTCAAGAAATTTGCACTGGAGCAGACAACAGCGCACGGATTCCCCAACATTTTCCGCGCAACTACCCTTTTTGGCCGCCTGCTGTGGACCGTCCTTTTCCTAGCTGGAGTGGTGGCCACATTTTATCAGGGCACAGTTCTTGTCTTGAAGTTCAGACGCTATCCAGTTAATGTTGAGGTAAGCAAAAATCTCCAAAGAAAATCGTAATTAATCAATGTTCACCCGATGACTCACGAAGTTCTGGAAAAGTCTCCTTATGAACAAACAATCAAGTAAATTACCCAATGCATCATCGCATTGAGTGTACAAACTTCGCTACTTTATGTTTTATAGTATGAAATATTTTACCTGAACAATTTTTCTCCACGTAGAATTCATTATTTGTCGTAATCTCTTTTCAAACAAGAATGAAATCGGTCTGATTCTTGAAAATGCATTTACGTAATACCAAAAGACGTTTCTATTATTGCAGTTATTACAATTTTAGGACATGTAATTCCTTGCTACCCCTGATGTTCCTGTCCCTCAAATTAATGAAAACCGTATGGTGTTTTCCTGCTATTAGCTGATAAACGGCTTTCACAGCTTTTCCTCTCATATCGGTTGCGCATTTTGTTAATGCTGAGTAATAGTGTAGGTTTGTTAAAAGGACTGCGAAAGATGGTGAGAGAATTGCAACCTTTTCCTGAAATGTGGGAAAGCGTTAATGGACAATTGACGGCTCCTTTCCTGTCTTCAACGTTTCCGTATAACATAATCTAAAACTACACGTATTCAGCTGTTAGCCGTAAAAGATCCATCTTTCACTTATGAAACTGGTGTTGAAATTATTTTTCTAAAAGTGCTGGAAACACTAAAGGCTCTGCGCGAAAATAAGGGGAAAGCGTGACAAAGGAGAAAACGTTTGGCTGGATTGTGCCCCCGGCTCTAATGTTGGGGTAAAGGAAGACGTTATTGTCAGCACAAGGGACCATTTTAACAAATCCTGTCTGGATAATTCGAGGACCCAACCAAGATTAATCTAAAACAAGAAGGAGACGATCAACAAATCACCATAAGATATGCTCCCGGTCTTCCGAACCCGAGCTCCAAATTCTCAGAACTACACCAGGCCGTGGACCATATCTTGGCTTGGAGAAAGTCATGAAAAGCGTGCTTCTTTTCTCTGTCTCAATCGACAGGTGAAGATCGTAACGAAAGCTTTGCTGGAGTTACCGTCAGTCACCGTGTGCAACACCAACAAGCTCCGTACGTCTGCTATTGAAAAGTCCAAGCACCGACGTATGCTGGTTGTCGATCAAACCACTTCCTTGCCGTACTACGGTAAGTAGGCAGGCAGAGTGGCAGTAACTTCGCCAGTGTGGCTGCCAAGTTGGTCCCAGGGCAGCCTGAACGAGCTGAAATTTTCATTTCAGTGGACGAGATTTCATACATTGCGCGCAGTCCTAGACCTGTATCTGGTTATTGATTAAAGAGATGGGGAATCCGAGTTAATTGGCATTCCAAGTAATATATAAATCAAGCTTTAGGAGGCATTCGCAGTGTTGATGAACCTAAGGACAGGAGAATAACTTCTGGCAAGGGTAACACTTGCCTTTTAAAAAATCATGCAATGCAGTTGTCTTATAATCACTTTTGTGTGTCTTTGTACTCTTCACCAATATATGACAACAGTTTGTCATTTGGGGGGGTTACTTGAACTCCCATCCATATACCCAAACTGACTCCATCACCTCAATCCTAAGACGGATATTTTGCTGGCTAGATCCCTGCGGCTTAGCAAGTTAAAAGTGCCTTTCGCGTCACCTTGCAAGCATTGGGTGCTAGCTGTGCGTTTGAGAAGCGAACAAGACAACTACACATAAACACTAAGAGTCCCTTTGGCCTGTCTACCTTACCGATCCAACTGTTACCATTTTTGTGTTTATTGGTGCGTTGGCGTTATGACAAGTCCACTAACGCCGTCCGTACTGTGACTATATAGACTCGTGGACCGTGCCATCATCCAATTACAAAAAGCATACCACAGTCATCACAATAACCGCAATCAGCGTTCTCACAACCGCAGCCATTTCATTGGTACCATGGCAGAGAACTAAACGCACAACACCATAGCCACGTCACACATTAATAATTATTAATTAATAAATTAATAATGTCATGTAATGTGATAATGTAAGTTTATGTAGTCTGGCAACACTTGTGGGATGATGTCTTATGGTAGCATCTTTTATCGATAAAGTGTGTCCTTCAACGCCTTGGTGTCATCACGCGCCAAGACAAACACCGAACCCTCGGAGGTTTTGTCCCGTAAGGATCGTTAGCCCGCTATAAGCCGTCAACTGAACTACAGTAGGCGCCATATTTCATTTCCAACCTACCGTTTATGTACGCACGCCTCTCCAAAGGGAGTAGATGTGGACGCGTTTAACAACAAGAGTACGTCAAAGCAATTTTATTTTGAGCGTGGGTTAAGTACCTAATCTAAACCAAGACAAGGCGTTCAAAAGATAAATATGTTGGCATCATGCATTTCTAGTACATGAATAAGGTATCGGAGAAACACTTCATTGTTCGGTAGCGAAACTCAGAAATGCGGAATTATTTTGTTTCTGCGATATAGGTCATCGTAGAACACTCGATTTTAACGTATATTGACAAAAAAATATACGGTCAGTGTTTTTAATTTATCTTATTGCCGAGCTTTTAGTGACTGGTACCTTCGATCCACCCATGCTCCTCACCACCTATGCTATGTAGCTGCATAAAATCTCCCTTGGTAGTATTATTACAAGAAAACAATTTTACAAATAAATTACTGATTGAAATCAAAATCTTGATCTTCTTAGAAAGGACAACCATGTTTAAATCTCTTCCAGTTTTTCAACTGATTTTTGATTCGCTCCCCAAGATTTACGTTTTTTTAATAATACATTTAACATGGGAGTCCTTTGACAGTACTGATGAGAACTATTCGTGTACGCATGTAACACAGAATTCGGCTGGGTGGAACATTTTTGTTCAAATCATGCCGATCACTTCAAGGTTTTTGGTACCTGTAAGGTGTCTCGCAGCTTGATCTGGCCAGCAAGGGGCCATTAGCTCTTTGTAATAGAGTTTTCGGGGACAAATTCCCTGCTATACATCAGGAGGTAGTGAGATTATGCTGCTTGAGAGGAAGTAGTTATAAAAAACTTGTTTTTCCAATTAGTTCGACAGAACAAAGCATACAGTGCTCAGTATACTGGCGAAAGGCAAGACCTAAGACTGTTGCTGAAAAAAACCATCTTCCCAACGCTCGCTCTGAAAGCAATTATTAATCACCTTGTAAAACCTGTTTTAACATCAGTACAACCGCCAACAATCACTCGTGTCGCAAACGATGATTATTAAGTGATTTTTAGATGTCAAGTAGAAGGAAACGGTGAGGTTCGAGCCAATGGCAATTTGGTGTGGACACACTTCGTTTATGTGGCGTAGGATCACGTCGAAGATCGCTATAAACGAAGGTGGAATTAACTGTCACAGTGATGTGCATCACCTTACACGAAACATACCTATTATACTCCATTCGAATGAAAATTGCGTCTTGGCTGGGCAAGGATCACCCTTCACTTCTTAATTGTCACCACGTGTTGGCGTCTTTTAGACCGCGCTAGTAAGTAATGGATGCTTTGTGTGTAATGATATCTCATTTTCCTTGCTGGCAATGTGGCGTACATCGTGCCACATAATCAAAGCCCATCATCATAATGCAGGCCTTGCTGCTTATGGTACTTAAACAATTGTTACCTAAAACTGGAAGCATCAGCTTTGCTCATTTTAATTAATCAGTAACGGTACTCAGGATTTTTTTTCTGCCATTAAGAAATTATTCTTCTCTCTACAGGCCAAAGATTACAACGGTAGTATCAATGCTACCTTGAGGATAGAGAGAACCTATTCCTCTAAAGCAAAAAATGTCTTCAGATCCCAAAAATGGAGTCTCACGGCCCTTTTTGTTTATAGTTTGTATTACAAGGAGGAACTGAGCTCTTTGGGTTTTTTATATTACGTGGTTTGGCATTCTTGCAAAAGTTGGCATCATAACATTTTGACGTTTAGGGCTTCTAATGATATAAATGCTGCAATTTTTAAAGCCTCGACTCAAACGTACCTCTGACAATTTGCAACTGATTTTGTCAGCCTTTTCCTGTAAATCATAGAGTCCACGAGGGTAATTGCCTTCTTTCAACGCTGGGCGCCCACCAAGCTTAAAGTGCAGCTGGCAATGAGGTTTTTCTTTTCAGACAACGTTATTCTGCAATTTCATTTTCTTCTTCAATGTATAAAACAGTATTAACATCCCTATCAGGTTAAATGCATTTAAAAGTGCATTTTGTAAACATTCAAACTTACCCATGCTTCCCTGGACAATTGAGGGCGCTGATGCTGTGATGTCATCTAGGGAAAATTTTGTGCATTAACCAACCGTACGTAACAATGAAGGATTTTTCCCTGAGATGAAATTACACTTTTGCTCATCAATATGCGAATTCATTGGCACAAAAAAAACGAAAACGGCAGCAAAATAGCCTTCAAATTGTGTAAAAAGCATTAAAACAAAGTTTACTGAGACCCACAGATACTGGTGATAAAAGCAATTTCATTGTTGCTACCGGTTAAGCTCACCGCCAAATAAAACTGCCTTCCAGGAATACAGTGGATCACTGCAATATGTGCATCGGTTTGGTCGAACTGAGTGAATAAGTCAGTCAGTAGATTGACTGGAGTCGAGTCGACCCATAGCGTTTGCATGGCGAATTCATAGTTTTAGCAAATTTGATTGATTGATATTTCAACGTGTAAAATACCATCACAAAAGGCAGTCTTTTCTCGTCAGTTATTGGTATCGTTTCCTTCCATCGTATAGGCTACACATATTCATGTCATAACTACAGTAACCTTGCACAAGAAAACCTGTAAAAAAGGCTTCCATGTACACCCTCAGTAATATGAACGTTGAAGAATTTTGTGATTTAACTTGAGCGCGAGTCACCGCTCGTTGCAGTGACACTTGTCGAATCGGTGTTTTTATCCATTACTCATTAATGAACAGATATGTTGAGTAGCCAAAATTTCTCATGACTGGAGTGGGACTTGAATCGAGTCATCGAATCATTACCACTCCGAAATCCCCATATTAATTAGTGCTTGTTAAAATAAGCCTCAGGCAGATATGAAACATCACGAGACAATGCTCTATTCCCATTATTTGAGCGGGTCAGAGACAAATGAAATGGATGACACGCACTTGCTCTTTCTTCATATTGGCTTCACTAACAACATCTGTAATGCATTACTGGACGACGCTTGTTGGCTTCTTATTTCCCTGCGTACAACAGCAGAAAATTACGCGGCTCGTTGGAAGTCTATTTCTGGATTGATGAGTTGACAGTAATGATAAAAGGGAATACCTCGCAGAGCGCAACTTTGTCGTGGTTCATTATAAGAAGCCTTACCAAAAATATGGGATTCGGCCGTGAAAAATAATGCCTCCTCTTGTTATCGTGCATGGATGTGTTTGTGCTTGAGAGAAAGAAGTGACATTCAATAATGAAGATCAAACCACCTAGAATATAGCCTTTGTATAAATCAGCATCCTGATACATGTATTTCCGCAATGATTTTATTTCCCGCTCGCTTCCACAAACATCGTGTTGTTCCCATGAGTGATAAGAGGCGAGGTATATAATTTGTATAAGAGGGGTAGCCTCCACTTTCACTGAACTTGCCTCGGGTAATGTATTTAATGAGGTCCGTAATGCAAGTGAACTGCCTTGAGTGCCCTGTTATATTGTTGACAGGCCTCGTTTTCATGTCTCATTTGGCATCCATCTGCCTCCATCGTCATCTCTAAATAATAAAAGACAACACATTCTTTGAGTCAAGGTATCTCGCAAGATCCACTTAGCCTAAGCTCACATAGGCTGTAATCTATTGACCAGCCAAGCTTCATTTTTAAAACCATTTGCTGTCAACGACTTTCAATGTTCATTTGTCAACAATTCGCCGATGCAAAACAAACAGTGCAGTAGCGTGGGAGGAGCATTTTTTAAAAGCACGACGTGACAGACTGCCAATAAAGGCTGTCGGATGACTTATGCTCCAGGGACCGGGAAGCCTCTGAGGAACAAAAATACAACCTGCACCACACATTGGTAAAATGATTTACTTTTATCGGTTTCCAACGTCAAGGGAAGGCAATGTAGACAGTGTACTCTAACTTTTTTTAGAAGACCACCCATATGTTTTGTACACAGTTGTCAATCGACCTTATTGTC